GTGCGCCCCTCACCGCGAGCTCTCGGCTGCTTCACCCACAGCGCCTCTTCCCCAGCCGGCTGGACACACGCCCTCCCCAGTGGTCACTGCTGCGTCCAAGTTCTGGGGTCAGACGCGCCCCGGAATGCGCCGCCCCGCTCCCCGCATACCGCACGCCCAGAGGCTGCATCTTCCCCTCGGCTCGCCCAACCTGGGGCCCACTCCCAAGCCTGACTCGCGTCCCCGGCTGCCGCCACGGCCCACTGTGTCCTGTCCTAAGGCTGTGCTCAGTGGCGCCCAGAGAAAGGTAGAAAAAGTATGTTTAAACGTGCACACGAAGAGTTTTAGAAAAAAAGAGTCGATCGCCTCAAAGTAATAAGCAGCCGTTTAAAATAGCATTAAAATCATCAGAATCTTATTGGAGGCTGTACTCATGAAGGTTCTGCGGGAACTGACAGCTCTTCGCTTTTTGGCTGGAAGAGGGTGAATGTGGGACCTGTTGCTGGGGGCTGGCGAGGTGGGCGCGCACAGCTGCCCCGAGAGGTGCAGATGCCGCCGAGGCCCAGGCGCTGCTGTCCGGAGGTCCCGCTGCCAGGTCCCGTCTCCCCGCCCTGCCTGCCGAGCTGCCTCCCCTTCCTCTGGTGGCCCAAGCTGGACACCCAAACCCTGGCCTCTGCTCGACCTCCAGGGGCAGAGATCACCAGCCAAGGACAAGCCCTTCAGCCCTCCTCAGCGCAGAGCCCAGCTCGCAGCTGCAGCCCGCCCCCCTACACGAGTTGTCGTTCCTGCAAGCTAGAAACCCCCCCAACTGCCAAACACGTCAGAGCCCAGCAACTCTGAGGCATCGACCATTTCTTTGTTCCTTCCTGACTAAACTCAGGGGGTGTCCCCCCACCCTCCTTCCGAGAGCCCTCTGCAGTCGGGCTTCCCCCCCAGGGCTCATCTCATCAAGGTGAGTTCCTATCTCCAGATGGCCATGATCAGAGCTCCCCTCGCTTGGCCCGCAGCCTGGTGACAGTCAATCCTTTCCTGGAAACTCTCCTCCCCTCCTCAGCTCTGACCACCACCCCCCACCCCCCCAGCGTCCTCACCCAGCCTCTCCTTATGCCCACTGTGCGCACGCTGGGGCCTCTGCCGCCGCAGCCCTTCTGGCCTTTCCATGGAAATCCTCAACAAGACTTCCAGAAGACTTCTCATTAGAAGCCTTGGAGAACACAAGCCAGTGGGAGGACATATTTGAAGTCCTGAAGAAAAAGAAATACCTGTCAACCAAGAATTCTATATCCAGCAAAACTATCTTTCAGAAATGAAGGAGGAAGTAAGATGTTTCCAGATAAGTAAAAGTTCAGGGAGTTCATTTCCTTCACTACTGGAAATGCTAAAGAGAGTCCTTGGGGCTGAATGAAAACACACTAGACAGTAACTCAAAACCACGAGAAAGTACAGAATACAGTAAAGGTTACTGCATGGGAGAAGCTAAAAGCTGGTATTATTGCAGTTTTGGTTTGTAACTCCTCTTTTTATTTCCGTATGATTTAAAAGGCAAATGCATGAAACAATAGTCATAAATCCATGTTAATGGACACACAATAGATGAAGATGAATCTGTGACAACAACGGGAGAGGGATGTGGATGTGTAGGAGCAGAGTGTTTACTACTGAAACCAAATTGGTATTATTCAAACTAGGTTTTTATAAGTTTACGATTTTAACTGTAACTCCCAAGGAAACCAGTAAGAAAATACTGGGGAAAAAATACAGAAAAGGAAAGAAGAAGGACATCAAAATAGTACATCACAAAAAATCAACTAAATACCCAAAAAGGCAGCAATAGAAGAACTGAGGGACAAAACCCATGTAAGACATATAAGAAAACAAATAGCTATGGTAGAAGTAAGTCCTTTCTTTTCAGTATTCACTCTATTTTTTAAAAATATATTTATTTATTTATTTGGGCTGTGCCGGGTCTTAGTTGCGACACGCAGGGTCTCTGTTGTGGCATGCATGTGGGATCTAGTTCCCCGACCAGGGATTGAACCCAGGCCCCCTACGTTAGGAGCAAAGAGTCTTACCCACTGGACCACCAGGGAAGTCCCTCAGTATTCACTTTAAATGTAAATGGAGGGCTTCCCTGGTGATGCAATCATTAAGGATCCGCCTGCCAATGCAGGGCACACGGGTTCGAGCCCTGGCCAGGGAAGATCCCACATGCCACGGAGCAACTAAGCCCGTGCGCCACAACTACTGAAGCCCATGCACTTAGAGCCCATGATCCACAACCACAGAAGCCACTGCAATGAGAAGCCCATGCACCACAACGAAGAGTAGCCCCCGCTCACGGCAACTAGAGAAAGCCTGCACGCAGCAACGAAGACCCTACGCAGCCAAAAATAAATAAGTAAATAAAATATATATTTTAAAAACTTTAAATGGGTTAAACTCTCCAATTAAAAGACAGAGATTGGCAAAGGCGATCCACCTTTGTACACTTGCTGTGTACAAAAACTCACTTTACATACAAAGACACAAAGAGGTTGAAAGTAAAAGGATGGAATAAGACGTTCCATGCAAACAGGAATCAAAGAAGCTGGGGCGGCTGTGTTATTATCACACAAAATAGGCTCGAGTTCAGTTATTTTTCTTGAGATCCCGTACGGAATGGGTTGTACCTGCCTGGATCATATAAAGGGTGAGGTTTTTGTCTTTGCAGCCTCTTAATGCTCATCCAATAATAAAACTGTTTCATCCCTTTCTACCCTTGTGGAAGGACTCACTGGGTTTTGGGGGTTTTTTAATAAATTTATTTATTTTATTTATTTATTTTTGGCTGCGGTGGGTCTTTGTTGCGGTGCGCGGCTTCTCATTGCAGTGGCTTCTCTTGTTGTGGAGCACGGGCTCTAGGCACGTGGGCTTTAGGAGTTGTGACTCGTGGGCTCAGTAGCTGTGCTTGCGGGCTCTAGAGCGCAGGCTCAGTAGTTGTGGCGCACGGGCTTAGTTGCTCCGTGGCATGTGGGATCTTCCCGGGCCAGGGCTCGAACCCGTGTTCCCCGCACTGGCAGGCGGATTCTTAACCACTGCGCCACCAGGGAAGTCCGACTCACTGGGTTTTAATTGTTGGTCCACCAGCTCCATCTCCTTCCTGTCTTGGCGTGAGACCCAGCCTGCCACTCTGCCCCCAAGACCATCTCCTTCCCTTAACCTGCTCCAATTTTTCTTTCTGAATAAACCTTTTATGTCCTAGATAATTTACTCTTTTTTTTTTTTTAATGTTTATGCCTCTCTTCTCTGCCTTGGGCAGGGATCTGTGTCTGTTTTGTTCACTGACGGAGTGATACCCAGAAGGCCCTACAGAAGCACTGGCGAACAGAGGCAGCTCAAACTTACCACGTGCAAACACCAGCTCCTGCTGCTACATTTCCGTCCCAGCCCATGGAGCCCCACCTCCAGACACTGAGGAACGTTGGTCTATTTGACTCGTACCCCCGTATCCAAGCCAGGGCACCCCATGGCCCCACCTGCCTGCCACAGCCCCTCACCTGTCCATCCTGTTAGAACCAGACTCACGCGTTGCCGGGACCACACTCCTCTAAATGGCAGCCCTTCCACACTTCCTATTTGCTTTCCTGGGCCCCTTCTTCCCACACTGGCACTGGGCACCCCGTTATAAGTTACATATTCAGCTGTTTGTGGTCTGTCTTCCCCAGGCAAAGGTCCGCTCCAGGTAGGGTGGCCGATGGCCCTGTCTGCCTGGGGTTTAGGGCTGAAAATCCTGACCTGAGAAGCCCCGCAGTTCAGGGCAGACCCAGGTATTTCCCCTGCTCCGGGGCCAGTGCTGTTTGTTATTAGTGCTGGGACAGGGTGGCACCCAGTGGGTGCTCAGTACCTGCTTAAGGAATGAATGAGGGAATGAATGAGGTACACAGATGTCCAAAGGCTCGTCCCAGTTAAGCTGTGAGCCCTGGCGGGGGTGACCCTAGTCATCCCTCATCCGGGGCCCGAGTGCATCAGCACGTTTCTCCGGGGCAGGGGTGAGGATGGGGTTTCCCGCTGGCGGGCGGGGGGGGCCAGTCTTACTTGGTCCATGGCCAAGGCTGTGGGCCTGCTGGGCCATGGGGCTCTGGATGTGGTTCCAGATCCTGATGTGGAGGTGGGATGTAAGGTCCAGCTCAGAAGCGGGTGCTGAGTGCCGCCACCACTTGGTGACGGCACGCACTGGACAGTGGGGCAGCTGGGACCAGAGCGTGTCCCTCCCCTCCCCGTCCCCGGTAGCCCTGCACACCCTTAGTCCTGGGGAGGAGCGCGGCCGCTGCCTCTGTGTGGGCCTCTGTTTCCGCCCTCTGGGGTGGCCAGGGTTGCTGAGGAGTCTTGGGGGAGCCTGCTTCTGGTCAGTTCCCCGCAACCCCCCCCAGCAAGTCCGCCCTCCCAGCCCCAGGCGGCCAGGATTCCTGGGGTGGCCCTGGGTCCCGCTGGGGTCTGGTCCAGGCATGGGAAGCAGGAGCTTGTGGGACGGGGAGAGGGGGCCCCAGCCAGAGCTGGGACCTTGGTCCCCCACCCTCCCGGGTGCCTTGATGGGGAGGGGACACCTGGGGCAGACAGGGGTCTCCACAGGGCCCTTGGGCAGGGGACCGGGCCTGGCTGGGGTAGGGGAGTGGGAGCCTGGGGCTCGAGGGGTGGTGCAGCCCCTGCCAACTGTCAGGGGGCGGGCCTGCGGGCTGAGTGGGCGCCGGGTGGCCCTGACCCACCCGTGGGTGCCACTCTCCCCCCCACCCACGGGGGCGGCTGTGGGGCTGTTGGCGTTCCTAGCCTGGGGATGTCCTGCGATACAGGCGGGGCTGTACGTGGCGGAGGGCGGCAGGCTCCACCCGTGTCCGTGGCTCCACCCTCGCCCCAGCTGCAGTCCTGACCTCCATCCTGTTTTAGGAGGTATACCCAGGCCCGTGGTCCTCCCAACCCCACCCTAAGGGCCACCTTGCCCTGCAGACCCCATCTCTGTCCTCAAGGAAAGAGGCGAGCCAGGTGGACAAGTGTTTACTGAGCGAGGGGCCATGCTGGCTTTGCCTGCCCCCCTAGTCGGCTGGGGGCAGCAGGCCCCATTGAGAGAGGGATAGGAGAAGGCCCGGTGGACTGTGTCCGGCTGAAGGAGGGACAGCCCAGCCAGGGCCTGGGTGTAGGGGCACAGACGCAGACGCAGCGCAGCTGACATCCAGGGCGGGGCCTGGATGCACCGTCGTCTCGTGGAGGTGACTCCAGACACAGCTCGGGAGGCGTGGCCCGGTGGTCCTTGTGAGCCGGCAGGAGGGTCCTGGGAGGGCAGACCCAGCCGGCCAACTGCTGGGTGACCCCTGGCCTGGGACACGGAAGTGACACTGCAGGGTCAAGGGTCCCCCTGTGGTCCTTGAGCGCAGATGGCACACAGTGGCCCTCAGGGAGTGTGACTGTCTGAGAATGGCTCGTCCTGGCACGTGGCCCCTGAGGCCAATGGAAGCAGCCAGCCCTCACTGGACTGGCCTCGCTGGGGGCCTGGGGAGTGGAAGGTGGTCTGAGCTCTGCGGGGGGCTGGTGCAGGGTGGTGTTCGGGCCGTGGGCTCCCTCGAGCTCTTAGCAGAGTCTTTGAAGGGTCGAGGGAGAGCTGTGTGAGGGACACTGGGGGGCCAGTGAAGGCCCAGCCTGGGCAGCAGGGGGCCACCGGGTATGTGGAGCCCAGCCATTGTGGGCATGTCCCGGCCCCCAGACCCGCCCAACTACAGAAGGGGCGCGGCCACACTCTGCACTTCAGAGAACACTGTCCTCAGGACCAGAGGTGCAGGCCGTGCCCCCGGTTGTCCAGAGGGAGCCGGGACCATGCTGCGATGGGGCAGGTCAGGGGCTGGGCCACCCGGGGAAGGGCGCATCCCACCCAGCCGTTCTCTTGGACCCCACCGGGGGGTTCAGAGGGGCTGAAGGTCCTTTGACTGGAAGCCCCGGCATGGCCCAAGGGCCCGCGGGAGCCGCAGGCCTCTGGAGAGCTGAGGCACATAGGTGGCACGGTCTGGGGCCAGGTGAGACCCGCCGCACCGCCTGCTCTGAGGCCCAGCCTTCACAGTCAGAGGCTTGGCGTGCCCAGGCGTGAGCTGCCACTCACCACATCCCAGCAGTCAGGCCCTAGCACTTGCTTCTTCCTGGTGAGACACCTGGCCTCAGGCTGCTGTCCCCTGGGTGGCAGCTGGAGAGACAGGAATGGGGGGCTGGCTCAGGTGGCCCAGTGCCACCCTTGTCTGGGGGCACGGCCACCCCCAGCCCAGCCCTGCCTGTGTGGTGGAAGGCGGGAGAGGGGTCCGAGACCCCAGTCGCTCAGGGTGCACTGCCCAGTGCAGCCAAGCCAGTGCCCGTGCGGCAGGCAAGTGTCCCGTCTCCGGGGGAGTCCGCCCAGACCCCAAGGGCAGTGTGCCCCCCAGGCGCCTACCACTTGAACCGGGCCCAGTCACTCTCACTGCTTCCTGGGACTCTGGGACTCGCCCAGCATAACGCTGGGGCTCCAGCCGTGGCCCCAGGCCGGCCACCGGGCCACCTGGCTGGCAGGTATTAGAGCCCCAGTCCAGACATGAGGCCCCCAGGGGTGACCATCACCCCTTTGACCTGTGATCTGCTGGAGGTGACCTTTGCTGGGGAATGGGACCCAGACTCGGCTGAAAAGCTCTGCTGGGTCAGGGAGTGGGGGGCAGTTGGGGGATACAGGCGTGAGGAGCCTCCGCGGGCCCCGGGGCATTTCCCGAGGGAAGGCGGGCAGGACTGGGGCTGTCCTGGAGTTGCTGTGACTCAGCTGAGTTCAGAGGCCATTCAAGACCTACCCAGCTGCCCATGTGCAGAAAGGGCCGCGAGAGCCCTGGGCACCGGAATGCTCCCCCCACGACCAGGGTGTCCACTCTCCACAGCTACCAGGAGAGGTTCTGTGCTCGCAGGTGGCTGTGCCTGCTCGTCACTCACCCTGCGCTGGTGTCACCCCTCCCACCTCTCCCCCCAACTGCCCCCCCACCCCCACCCCCGGGCAGGAGCCACCCTGCTGGGCCACACCCAGGCCCTGCAGGGTTAGGCTTATCCGTGGCTGGCTGGGCGAAGGGTGGGCTGGGGACATCGCGTTCCTGCACAGTTGGAACCAGAGCCCTGATTGGGGTCGGAGCAGTCAGGGAGGAGACGCAGCGCACCTGGCACCGTGGGACCCGGCTGAGTGCTTGGAGGCTCTGGGGCGGGCTTGACCGCCCAAGTCAGGGCGCCTGCCGAGCCCCAGTCTCCTGTACCGTGCGCCCCGCCCCCACTCCAACATGGGAGACGGGGCTCCCGGGGCCAGTCTGGGGTCTAGCCCTTGCCTCTTGCAGCCCCCCGAGGGCCTGTCCTCCCTGCCTCCTCTGGCTGAGGCCTGGGCCCAGCGCTCACCGCACTGGAGGTCGCACAGCTGCTGGGGGGCGGAGAACTGGATGTCCGTCCTTCTGCCCTGCAGGCCGGGTTCGAAGGCAGCGAGAGCGGGTCAGCACAGCCAGCAGCCGCTCCCTGAGCCCCGCCCGCATTCCCCAGAGGCACTGGCTGGAGGGACTGTGTAGCTGGAGGGGCCCCCAGGGCAGCTCTGGGGAGGTGGGGGCTCCCCTGAGGTCTGGGAGTGGAGGAGGTGGGCAGGACAGCACCACCCACCTGGATGCAGGTGCCGGGTGCGCAGGCCTGGTCCCCGGGAATATCCACAAAGGCCACCACAGGGTCCTCTGTGGGGTCACCCTGGGCGAGGGAGGGGTAGGTCACGGGCAGCGGGGGTGCAGACCAGGCTCCTCTGCGTCCCTGCGGAGCCCTCGAGTCAGCCCTCTCAGCACCCTCCCTGCCAGGGCTGGCTTGGGGACTCTGAGGAACTGAAGGGTCAGCACACTCCCCCGCCAGGTCCCCAAGACGGTGCCCACCACACCCAGCTCACCGCAGGGATGGGGGTGGCCTGGAGCACCCGGCGGCACGCGGGGGGCCACGTCTTCCCTCGGTGACACAGGCACACCTGGAAGTGGGCAGGGCTGGGCGAGAAGAAGGCCACCCGGAGGTGGCCCGGAGCGGGTGCCAGCTGGACAGTCATCTTCCAGGCTGCGGGGGGCAGGGGTGAGGCCCAGCACGCCACCCCACAAGTGACCAGCACCCTGTCGTCTTGCCCGCCCGACCAAGAGGCATTTACACAAGCAAAGGACCTTCTTTGCTGCGGCCGCCCTGCGACGGCCCCAGCCGGCCTCCCTCCCGCCCCGCGGGGGGCTCACCTGGGAAGCGCAGCTGCTCAAAAGGGCACCTCACCGGGAAGCCCAGGCTCGTGGAGAACTGCAGGGAGGCCGAGGGACGGGGTGTGGCCGCGTGTGCAGGGACGGGGGACGGGTGGGGGGCCGGGACAGGCGGGCCTCCTTCGTGGCCCTCTGGGACTGGTTACACTCCCCCCGCCCCGCCCCCATGGGACCAGGAGGGGGTCAGAGGGGCCACTGAGTAGCTGGACCCCAGGGCTGGGCAAGGCACAGGGGGATATGTGGCTGCGGGCCCCTCCCCTGGCTCCTGGGCGCCCTCCCCAAGCCCTGGTAGTGCACGAGGCGGGCTGCGGACTGGCCCACTCACCTTCAGGCAGAGCTGGGGCTGGGTGTCCACAAGAGGGTACTGCACCTGAGGGGCGCGCAGGTCAGGGCCCTGGCCGCCCATCCCCGCCCCATCCCTGCCTGGGGGGCACTCACCCTGCTGTGTGCGGGCCGGCCGGACTGCTCCAGCTCCAGGCACTGGGGTCCTGGCCCTGGGCGCCAGCACAGACTCACACGGCCACTCATGGGACAGGCAGGCTCCCAACTCAGCTCCTGGCTCCCCGGGTGGTAGTGGATGGCGTCCCACAGTGTCTCCGTGTCTGCAGGGACCCTCCCCCAGGGCTGGCATCAGCTGGCACTACCCCAGCCGCCCGTGGGCCACGGGACCGAGCACCTGCTAGAGTAACCATCGGGCTGGCCCAGGACCCAGGTGCCTTCTCTCGGGGGCTCTGGGCCTGACCCGAGTCTGTGTGTGTGTTCTGTGAGCACCCTGCACCCCTCCGGGAGCCCCTCCCGGCAGCCTGGGCTCTTCCAGGTGGCCTGGCTGCAACACGTGCGTGCTAGTGCACCGGCCGACACGCGCTCTCCTGCACGCTCACGTCCACGCGCAGGCTCTGCCGCCTCGGAGGGCTTGCCCGGAACACACTTGGCTGCCTGCCGTCCGAAGCAGGCTCAAGGGCTGAGGCTGGGCCTGCCCCCCCGACCCCGTCTCACCCCCGCTCGAGTCAGCCGTCCCAGCTGGACAGGCCAGCCCCTACCCTGCTGGGCACCTCTGACCCGCCCATCTCCCACCCTTCTCTCCTCGCTCCCCCCTCCTTCCCCCTGGCACCACAGGGCACTCGCCATCTTCGAAGGGGCAGGTCTGGATCCGCACGGCGTCAGGCGTCGCAGACCAGCCCTGCGGGAGGGACTGGGGTTAGCGCAGGGTCTGCCCATCCTTTTGTCCACTCCCGGCTGTCAAGGCCACATCCTTACTGACCTCAAGGCACAGGCACGACAACTCTTGTTTGTAGGGCAGAGAGACCCTCCGGGAGACCCCGTTCGCTGTCACCTGCAGGGGAGCGAAGGCACCGTGGGCGGGCGGCAAGCGAGGACCAGAGGCGGGGGCGGGGCTGGGGCGGGGCTGGGGCGGGGCTGGGGTGGGGCCGGGCCGGGGCGGGGGGCTCACTCGCACTGGGGCGCCCGCGTCTTCGCAGGTCAACCACTTGAGGCAGAGCCGCACGTAGTAGTCGGGGCCCCCTGACTCTGGCACCTGTACCAGAACGACCTTGCGGCTGCGGTCCACCGAGTAGGAGAGCTTCCCAGCTGTAGAAGGGAAGCAGGTGAGGTCACGCTGGGGCCAGAGGTCACCAGGCACAGGGCTCCCTTGTGCTGACACCCTCCAGGTGGTGACCCCTGCCAGACCCAGGTATTTTGGGAGTCGCCCACCTGAGGACCCATCATGATTTCCCGAGTGGGGAGGGCAGAAGATCCCAGTGGGAGGCCCGTGGGTGCCTGCCACCACCTGAGAGTCTTCCCAGGAGCCATGGGGCCCAGGTCCCACCCGGGGAGGGGGCCTCACCAAAGCAGTCGGGCACGTTCCTCCCTACGTCCTCATCTGCGCAGTCTGCGAACGACAGAGGCAGTGTTGGGCCCAGCCCGCTCTGCACCAGGGGCCGCCCCCCAGCTGGGCCTCTGCCCGTGTGGTTTCCAGAAGGCCTTCCTCTCCAGGGAAACGGAGACGCTGAATTAAGCCAAATGCACTGCTGGGAGCCGTCCAGCGTGGGGCCCTGCCCCCTGCCCTGGGTGAGTCCCGCCCTGAATCAGTCCTGGGAAGCTGGATGGCAGCTGTGCTCGCGCCGGCCCACCTTCCACATGGTACCGCTGGTCCAGCTGGACCCCGCAGAAGTGGGGGACAGTCCTCAGGGTGACGTAGAGGCTCTGGGCCACGCTCACCTCAAAGCAGTCAAAGTGCACCTGGAGCTGGGCAGGGACGGGTGGGAACTGGTGGAGCTGGGACCTCTGTCCGCCCACCCCTGGCCAGGCCAGTTCCACACCGCACAGCTGGAACCCAGGGTCTGGGGCAGAGGAGGAGGGGCACCCATTCCTTGGGCCTGGGGTGGCAGAGCCCCAGGACGGTCTATGGATCAGGTGGCCAAGAGGGGAGGGCAGCCGGGAGCAGGCCAGGGGACAGGTGCAGCTGCCCGGCACCGGCTTGGGGCTGGACCCGCAAGTCCGGGTCAGACCCTAGTCTCACCTGCTGCCCCACCTGCAGCCGGCGGGAGGCCCTGGGGACCCGCACGCTCTGGCACTGTGTCTCCTGGGTGTCCAGGCTCATGGAGCAGGCCTCCAGGCCCCGCAGGCCCTCTGGGTGGAGGGAGGGGCCGGCAGAGGTGTCAGAGCCCTTCCCTCCCCTCCTCTGTGAAGGGCAGTTAGCAGGGTCTCCCTGGCCCACCCCACCCCCGGCTTGTCACGGGGATTAAAGGAGCCCTGAGCCCACCACCACACTTCCTGGGTGTCACCACCATCATGGTCACCATGCAGCGTGAGAGAGGCCTTGACGCGCAGGAACAGGGAGCAGCCGTCGTGGGGGACACACTTCATGGCAGTGGAGAGGGTCAGGGCCTCCAGGACGGACCCGGACATGGACGTGGGGGGCTTGCGGCAGAAGCTGTTGAAAATATTTCCTGGGGAGGGGAGAAGGAGGGTGAGTACCACGGTTCCCAGGGCCTGGGTAAGGCTCTTTGGGTGGTGGGATGGGGGTGGGGGAGGGGTGCTCTGGGGCTGCACAGTCGCGGGGAGAGTCCTCCCTACTTGCCCCAGTGCAGTCAGGGAACCAGGCCCCCGGTGAGTGGTGGGCCACCCTGAGCCATGCTCAGAGATGGCCACTGGGCGCCAGGAGTGGGCCCCCGCCTGGCCAGCAAGGGGGCAGGGGAGCCCCCTTCGGCAAGCTGGCGGGTCCCACGGACAACAAAGATGGGCAACAGCAAAGGTGTGCTGGGGGCACGGGGGGCCTGACCTCAAGGGCACTGCCGCCTAAAGCCCTGACCGCCGGCAGGCGGCTGCACCGGCCCAGGTGGGCCTGGCCCCGACGGCCTCGGTCAGGGCACTGGAAACTGCGGCCGGACCAAGTGCTGTGCAGGGAGCTGGGCTCTCACGTTCAGGCGCTGGGGCCGAGCAGTATCTTCGGCCTTGGCTCTGCCAGATTTGCAGGCGGACGCTTCAAGTTCGGGGAGGGGCGTTGGTTCCATGGGAGCCACCACACCCCAGGGGGCCCCGCGCCCCATGGAGTTGGCAGTCCAGGTTCTCTGCTGCACTCAGGGCCGTGGCGTTCACGCCTGGTGACGTGTCAGACTGGGGAGTAACCCTGGGCAGGACAATGTGGCCAGGAAGGGGAGGTGTGTGTGCTCAGTGGTGCCTCCAGGGGGCCCGGGCCCCAGGCAAACGCCGGGAGCATATCAGGAAGACCAGCTTCTTGGACTGACAGTCAAGGGGAAGTAAAGGACAAAAATGCCGGGAGGAGAGGGGACACCGGTGGGACCAGGTGGAACTGTTGAATGCACGTGATGGGCTGGAAGCAGAGGCCGAGGGTGCACCAAAGGCTTCCTCACTGCAGAGAAAGTGGAGCAGGAATGAGGCATCCCCACGGACCACGGTGGCTGACCACTGAGACCCTGGAGAAGGGGGGGCAGAGGCACCGCGGCTGAGACACGGACGGACGCGCTGGCCCATCACTCAACAGAGCCCCGACTGGACCGTATCAGAAACAACTCAAAGAGGCAGCAGGAACTACGAGGTCTGAAATGTTCCTGGGAAAGAAACCCAGTGCTGTGGATCCCACTGTGGCCAAGATGGGGTCACAGGGGTCAGATTTTCCCTCGAGCCTGAAGCAGCCTGGAAACCAGACAAGATACAGTCTCAAGACAGCGGACGTGGGGAAGGACAGACGGCCATGCCCGAGGGACGGGGACAGACGGCGATGCCCGAGGGACGGGGACAGACGGCCATCAGGGGGATGGGGACAGATGGCCATGCCCGAGGGCTGGGGACAGACGGGGGAGCCCAACGAGGGCCCTGCTGTCTTGAGAGCCTTTCCAGGCTGTGGCAGAGGGAGGGGGAATTTGGGACCCCTGACACCCTCCCGAAGTGGAGAAATGGGGCAGACGGAAGTGGCCAGAGTTTGCAGGATGAGCGCAAGAGGAGGGATGATGCAGAGAGAGCAGGGGAATGCGTGTTCGGCAGAGAGCGGATGAGCACGTGGACGTGAGGGGCTGCAGGAAGAGGAGAAGCCCAAGGGGTTTGCGGGGACAGCATCCTGTCCGCACCCGGGGCCAGGACTATCCCCATTCCCAGCCAGACTGGGGACTTCGTGACTCACGGGGCCCCGGGTACACTGTATGCAAGAGTCTTGCTTCTGTAGGAGAATAACTAGCCTTAGATGGAGCACTGCTCTGGCCTTGCCTAACAAATCTTAAAGACCCCCAAAGGTTAACCTGTTTCTAAGGAACTTAACTGTATTTCAGAAATGGCTCAAGAATATTTGTATGGATAAAAGTATATATCCGGCACACAACAGGTAAAAATCACCATGTCTACCATATAATAGAAAATTACAAGCCATGCAAAGAATCAGGAAAACATAACCCAGAATGAGGGGAAAAATCAAATAAAACCGACAGAGATGTTAGGATTAGTAGACAGGAACATTCAAACAGTTACCGTAACTGTATTCCACATGTTAGACATGAAAGATATTAAAAAAAAACCCAAATCCAACTTTTAGGGATGAAAACTACAGTGCCTGAGATGAAAAATACAACAGCTGGTTTAATAACAGATTAGCCATTGGAAAAAAAAACACTGGAGAACTTGACATAGCAATAGAAAACATCCAAAAGTAGATGGAGAGGGATTGTGGCGATGGTGAAGGTGTGTTGATGGTGATGGTGATGACAATGATGGCAATGATGGCGGTGATGGTGGTGATGGTGACGATGATGGTGATGGTGACAGTGGTGAGGAAATAATAGAACAGAGCACTGGGGAGCTGTAGGACAACTTCAAGTGACCTAACGTATGTGTGGTTAGGGGGAATGGGGGAATGAAAAAAACTTGAAAAAATGATAGAAAATTTTCAAACTTGGTGAGAACTATAAACTCACAGATGCAAGAAGACTGATGAATGATAAGAAATATGAAGAAATTACACGGCACACCAGGATCAGTTTGCTCAAAGCCAGTGGTAAAGAGAAAACTGTAAAAGCCACCAGAGGAAAAAAGACATGTGATGTGCAGAGGAACCGAGGTAAGGAAGGCGCAGAATTCTTTTTGGGAGCAACGCAAGTGAGAAGATGATGGGGACAAAGACCCTGCAGGACTGAGAAACAAGCCCCGCCCGCCTAGCATCCTATCCCTGCCCACATATGCATGACTGATTCTCAGCAAACATGCTGGGAACTCAGCGGGAAAAGGGTAGTCTTTTCAGCAAATGGTGCTGGGTCAACTGGGTGTCCCCAGGCAAACGATGCGCTTCCGTCCACACCTTTCACGACATGCAAAGTTCACCTAAAATGGACTGTCAACCTCAATGTAAAACCTAAAACTACAGAACTTTTAAAAGAAAACACATTTTTATTCAATAAAAATCTCTGTGACCTTAGGTAAGGCAAAAAATTCTTAGATACAACACTGAAACCGTGACCCATAAGAGAAAAAAATGAATAAATTGGATTTCATCAAACTTTAAAACTTCTGCTCTTTGAAAGACCCTGGTAAGTAGTGAAAAGATAAGTCAGAGATTGGGGGGAAATATTTGCAAATCATGCACCTGCTAAGGAACTTGTGTTCAGAATCTATAAAGATCTTTCCAAATTCAATGATAAGGAAACCAACAACGCAATATAAAGTGGGTGCCTGTCTGTCCTCAATGCAGGAGGGGCGGACTGGGGGAGGGGGCCGCAGGCTTCCACCATCCTCCCCCCAGACTGATGGAGGTTTAAAAACTAATAAAGCCAGCGAGTAGTTGGTCTGCCTTTTTTTATCAACATGCTCTGGCAGTTCTAAACAGTGTTGGTGATAAAATCTTCCCCGTTGGTGGAAGATCTAAATGATGGCCTGCCCCCAGCCTGGCCCCCAACTGCATCCTTCGCCCACTGTCATCTTGGGGCTGATGTACCTAAGGTGTGGGGTCAGATGGATGACTCAGAGGGGGACAGCACCCCAGGGCAGTGGCTGGAATCGGAGGAGAGGCCACCTGCAGGAGGCAGCTGAGTCCCTGTCTGGCCACAGGGGCCAGTGGTCAAGCCCGGTGGGTTAGTCACATAACGTGGCGGCGAGGAGGACTGTGTCCCCAAGCCTGACGCTTCCTTGCTCTGAGGGTCATCCTTAGAGCTCGGTGTGCAGCCCTCTCAAAAGAAGCGATTGTGCTTTAGAATTCTCTCTCATGTGTGTGAAAACTTCCTCCTCTGTGCAGAAAGTGAGAAGTCTGCAACTTTTGACCTTTTCTGGAAAAAAACAAAGACCTTCCAGCCAAGCAAGGAAAGGATCAGAGCCGAAAAAAAAGGTAGAGCCATAGAAGAGCATGGTGACCATGGGAAATGAGGAAATACATAGTTAAGTATAATGGATGCGAAGGAGAAGTCACTTGTTGTAAATAAATGAATAAAAATAAGAACAGGCTCTTGTCCCAAATTAAGCTCACAAAACAGGAAAGAGTATATAGAAGAAAGTGAGGCAGGGGACTTCCCTGGCGGTCCAGTGGTTAGTGCTCCGCGCTTCCACTGCAGCGGCTGGGGTTCAATCCCTGGGGAACTAAGATCCTGCAAGCCATGCAGCGCGGCCAAAAAAAAAAAAAAGTGAGGCAGAAACACTAAATTATTTCTGGTTCAAAATGGAGAAAATAATTCATTGCTACTGTGTGGAAAGAATTGTGAACCCAAAACTCATCATACATACTTACAGAGAAGTAAATATATTTGGTCTTATTTAGAGAGGCTTCCTAAAAGAAGACCTGACAGCTGTATTTTAAAAAGGAGAAATATGAACTCAAAAGGAAGAAGTGGGTTACGAAAGGAACAGTGAACACAGGAATGGGTAGAACACGGTGGTGAATTTAAATTCATGCTGGGAGGGCAGCAGGAGAAAGGAGGACTCCTGTCTGTTTAAAAACAAGTTGCGGGCTTCCCTGGTGGCGCAGTGGTTGAGAGTCCGCCTGCCAATGCAGGGGACGTGGGTTCGTGCCCCGGTCTGGGAAGATCCCACATGCCGCGGAGCGGCTGGGCCCGTGAGGCATGGCCGCTAAGCCTGCGCGTCTGGAGCCTGTGCTCCGCAACGGGAGAGGCCACAACAGTGAGAGGCCCGCGTACCGCAAAAAAAAAAAAAAAAAAATTGTGAGAGCTGATAAAGAATCAGGATCATCAGTATAAACCCTGAGGAAGGGCAGAGGGACGCAGAGCACAGGAAGCCGCGTTCCTGGGCGTCTCCCAGCCCGGACGCTGAGGGCTCCAAGTGTGCGGCCCAGACCAGGGGATCCCAGGGCTGCCCCGTCACGGTGAGGGGAATCAGGAGAAACCTGCCCCCTCCCCGAATCCTGGGGCGTGGTGGGAGGGCAGGGGCAGTGGAGCTTCCTGGAAAGCCCACAGCCTCCG